AAACCGGAGTACCCGGAGGAAACCTACGCAGACACAGGGAGAACATGCAAACTCCACTCAGAAAGGCCCTGGTCCGGCCGGGATTCGAACCCAGGACCTTCTTGCTGAGAGGCGAGAGTGCTATCCACTCAGCCACCGTGTTCAAAAAGCAACTTTGCATAATTCATACATTCCATTCGTTGATTCTGAAATAAAATATTCTTCCAACCAAAGTAACTACGCAAAAAACAACATGATTTCAGGGACTGTGTCTGCACCTATATATTAACCCTTATTCGTCACACAGTGGGGAAATTTCAGTGTTGCACCACCAGTTACAGAACAGTAGGAATGAGCTGAACACAACACAAGGAAAAATGAACAAAAACTCCATCCCAAAATACAATAACCTCTCTAACTATAGCATAAAAAAGAAGCAAGTATAAAATCCCTAGCTCTAGCATAATAAGGAAGCAAGAAATAAGTTTAAAATCAATCTAAATATAAAGTGTCTGTCTTTTTTATATGTCTGAATGTGGTGTTAAATTGTGTTGTATGTAATTTAAAGACCTTTGTACCAATCGTTGTAACAAGTGATCAGCCTTTGTTCTTTATCATGTCCCGCTTGTTCCGAGGGGTTAGACGGCAGACGACATGCCCACTGCTATCTCCTCTCACAGCAGGGGATCAAAGGGGATTTGATAGCAAAAAAAAACAATTTGACCTACCTCTGCGAAAGTATGCGTATTATTCACTGCGGAGACGACCAGCCAGACCTCACTTCACATTGCAGACTTTGACGTCTTTCATGTCGAGGTATTTCTTACAGACACCCTTTGTAAACACAGCTGATGCCAGTAGACAAGGCCTTTCTTTATTTTTTTCTTTTGGTCATTTCAGATCTGGCAGGAAAAATGGGTCAGGGTGGGTGGATATTTCACACAATGTCATAAAAGTGGTAAATAATCTCAGAAGGCTATTGTTTTATTTGAAGTCTCTTAGTATGTTTTTGTATTGGCTAAGCAAGAGTGGTCCTCTCTTTTAAACTTGTATTGCCGCCAAAGCTGATTTGAAAATGTGACAATATTGACCTACATGTTAAAACTTTATACCAAACTGTTTAGGTTCTCCAATTTCCAGTCCAACAATAAATGTGTGCTATAAATAAAATAAAAGTTTGAAACTGTTTATTTAGCTTAGCCATGTGTATGATAAGCTTGTTTTAGTACCGGGTGCACTGCATTGTGACTCTAGAAGTCACAAGTCGGAAGTGTGTTATGACTTTTTGTATTTACTTATTAATTTGTTTTCCTGTCTTCCCTCGTGGTGAAAAGCATGTAGGGGTTGAAAAGACTCGCCTCTGTTTCACACTTTTGTCCCTGGTCAACACTGCATTTCAACACGGGTCTAACAACACAAGTCTGTAGTGTATAACAACCTATACTCTAATACTTCCGGCGCAGTCTTCCCGTGCATATGTGAATGTGGCCGGCCGGTACCTGCTGTCCGACTTATGGGAGCCAGAGTATTCCCAGAAAAGGACAAGCGCTCAGGAGCTCTTCCAGCAGCATTCCTGATTTACACGCCACAGTAACATCCGGATCGCTTCTCTAACTGCCATAACAGACAAATAGATAAACAAGCCAGGTACAGGCCTCCCTCTGTTCCAGCCCGAGGTCTTAAAGATAAAACCAGGCAGACCGTCTCTCTCCTCCGTGTTTGGGCCTGGGCCTTGATTACAGCAGGATAAGTATAGGGCCAGGGCTGGAGCTGGGGATGTCAGCCGCCTCAGGATCCCCGTCCTGTCGGATTGGGTGACCCTTCAGAGCAAAGTGAGCCTCTATGAGCATGCATGCCATTGACTACTGACTAATTCTTAACTATTAGCGGCTGTTTCGTCATGCGTGAGTGTGGGTGGGGTACCATTGTCTACGCTTGTTCAAACCTCATTCAAAAGGTTAAGGCAAAGGTTGGCTTCCGCTGACTGTTTCCTATACTGACATCCATGTCACGGAGTGTGCGGAAAATTACAGGAACCTATTATTGTTTGTTTGGTAACAGTAGAAAAAAGTCAGTCAAAAGATAAGCCAACTTTTAATAGAGTTCATTGAATTATTATGTTGTGTAAAAGATTAGTATTCAATTGCATTCATTATTTGTTGGATTTATATATGTTTACACAGAAACCATGTGAATCTTCGCTTGTTTCACACTGGATGGAAAAGGAGAAAATAGATTCAAATATTATAGCACAAAAAGTTGGAATTTGTGCATATTTGCTATTCCATTTAGTAAAATGCTAAAATAATTGATAGGTGCAATCCTATAACCAATTACCACTTGTAAATGTAGTGAGAACTAGTTTCTTATTGATCTTAAAGAATTGTCTTAGTTGGAGTGTAGACATATCATAGAACATCATTGCATTAAGTTTAAGAAATACTGTACAGCGGCCGAGATAGCGATGCAATCAACGTATGTAAGGGATTTGGACACAGCTCTATCAGTTGTTGATCTCCTGAGCAAACGGTGCAAGCATTCCTGATGTGTTTATGTGAACAGCAGAGAGATGAAGAAGCGCAGTTTTTATGTGACTTGTTTTTACGTGATTCAAGCTTATTGAACTGAGCATATTAATTCACAGATTGTAAATGTTATTATGTAATTTGTCTTAAAATGTAGCTGCTGCAGTTTACATGGAGGTGCACTTAACTGTCCATCAAGTAGTCTACTTCTCTATTTGTATAATTGAAGGATTTTGTGATATATGCATCAAACTGAGAGTGCAAAGACAACTCAAATAGAAAGTAATAGTAATAGAATCCTAATTGCGTGTCCACTTCCTCAAACCAATCTCACTTCTTTAAGTGAAGGCGTCATTGGTGTGTAAATGCTTTTCTTCTTTCTATTTCACTATCGGGGGAATTTCTCACCGCTTTTTCAAACTAGACAAACTCAATATCAAACTTGACCTTTTGCTGGGAATAAGTGTGATGGTCACATGATTGCTTGTTACTTTAAGTTACTTGCGGTGTTTTGCCCTTACAGATTTAGGTTTATGAATAGAGTTGATTTTGAATTATTGTGTTCACTTTCTCAGCAATTTTAATATTTCTCACAAATCTTCTGTTCAAGCCTGTCACTGGTTCACAAAAGATAAAAAAGCACATTCATATGTTTGTAGGGTTAATAATAATTATAATAATAATAATATATCGTTTCATTTCATGGGACCTTTTAAGGATGCCTTCAGATGTATTAAAAACGTCACACACACTATACAAATTCAGGATAGAATACATTTAAAGAATTACTACAGATACGCAAATTTAAAAGAGTAGGTTTTTAGGTGGACTTGTTCAAAGATGCTTCACGGATCTGTGTCTAAATATGTGCACATCCACAAATAAAGCAGTTTTGCCCAATGCGATCCAGATTTTGTGCAGTCAGAGTGAATCAGACCAGTGTGAATATGACCCTAAAATAGTCCACTGGTGACAGTCTGTATTTGGGACGAATAGATCCATCTTAATGACATTGGGGGAATAGCAGTACAATGTTAAATAGACAAATGCTGGATCTCTCGTCTCAGAATTGACCGTGGCCATGAAAAATGCATCCCCTGGACACCTCAGCCTCCCGGGGTCAGATCAACCTGTGTGTTCGTGTCTCATCAGTATTTGGAAGTATTTCTGACTGTCCACTCGGGAACGCGCTGACCCCATGCATCTCACCAGTGCTGCAGAGACCATCACGGACATTTGCACCAGAGGGTCAGACGCAAGAGGTTTCAAAATGCTATAAATCTTTCCACTTTGTTTCAGCGGATCCAAGTTGGCTTTTTGTTGGAATATTGCACTCTACACGCAGTTGTAATGTTTTTGGTTCTGCTAAATTAAATGTATATGTACTGGTATGTTTAAACACAAGGGACAATAGGCACAAACTATCTCCACGTTGTTATATATATTGTTATAATATGTACAATTTGAAGTAGAGCTTTCTGGGTTAAAGTTAAACTAAATCTTGGATCACATCTGCCTGAATGTGTTCACTTCTGGTTTATAGGGTTTTGTTGCATATTATTAAAATAAGCCCATTTTCAGGTCTTTAATCAATCACAAAGTATTTTTTATAGGATAAAGCATACAAAGAAACTAGCAAAGCAATCTAAACAAATTTAAAAAACACTTACACTACAAAAACTGTACAAATACACATACAAAACATTGTACTATGTATCATATTTATTTTGCAAACGTGGCCATAAAATAAATACTAATAGTGTAGTTGCGCACACTGACCAAAATAACTTTCTGCCAATTATTTTTAAAAATTATTTAAAAAATATCTAACTTTTGCACAACAACATACAACGTTAGAATCTAGCTTTTCTCGTTTATTCCAACATTACTAACACTCTTGAAGTACATACAAATAATCACTAATCTCATCTCAGGTTTAGACAATTTGACACAAACACAGAATATTGTTTTTTTGTCTTATTGTTGTGTAACTCTCACTACATCTTGTGCGATCACTTTCGGAGATCCAGCAGTAATCCGACTCCGGACTTGAAGGGATCCCAACACCAGGCTGTAATTCTAGACCACAGACAGGTGCTGCTCTGGTGTGAGCACATGAAAGTGGAAGTCATTGCACGCAATAGAATCCTGCCATATTATCACTCACTGTAACTCCTGCCGTGTGGTTTGATCGCAGTGGGACGGGTAAAGCAGGTTCTCGTACAGGTCCGGACTTGACGCCGTCTTTTTGCGCGTGCTGCTTTCACTCGCGGTGCAGGTGTGAGCCGACACGGACCTCACCTCGGGTCTCTTCCCACATTAAACCATTGTTGTATACTTCATAATGTTACTGAAGTCACTTGGCCTTTTCCATAACGCACAAGTTTTGTTTAACAGCACTCCTTTGTTATGGTTATAGCCCCTTATGGCCTGTGGTGGACATGTCCCATTGTTATTGAATGTTAAACACTGACACCTACCTTCTTGTCCTTTTAGGAGAAACAGGATTCAAGCACCACTACCCTCCAGCTCCGCTCTGAGATCCAAGTAAGCAACTGCTTTTATTAGACTCGAGTGGGCTCAGGCGTTTCACTAACAACGCCTTTGAATTCAAGCACACTCTAAAAACAGATTGGTTCAATTTCACCAGTTTGTTGGTTGTTTTAAAAGTAATGAATCTAAAAATATTGGGAAAAAATTAACCATATAAGTTGGCTGACCACAACCAATCACTCAAAATCCTTCACCTCACACACTCAAGGGTGAAGAGTCTTGCCCATGGAAGCAGTGACTATGAGGCACTTTACTGACACCTACATTACTGTGTCACCTGTGTACCCAAAGGTGTCCCATCACAGCACTAACCAGACCCTACACTGCTTAGCTTTTGTAACTTGTCAGGGTGAACAGTAGTCAGTGGTAAGTTAAATCAATCTTCTTTGTAGCACCAATTGACGCAAATGTCATTCTACCAATTAGTTTAACCAATTACGTGGGTAGTTTATTTACAACCAATGTGTTTTTAGAGTGAAGAATTTGTCATATATTTTGATAATGTTTTCCGATTGTGATGTGATTAACAATGTTTTAAAAGTAAGAGCATGTATCGAACAAACAGAAATATGAATAGGCTACATCTCAACCAATTTGCTAATACATTTTGCTTTTCAGAACCTTTTTAGAGGTTTAAACTGTGGTTTTGAGGTTTAAACTCTAAGATATATAAACTATATAAACTATACAAACTTAGGGACACGCATACGTTCCATAATGTTCGTTATTATTTCTGTATTTAGAACAGGACCTCTCTGTGCAATCCGTTTTAGATCTGTGTTGCTATTTAGTATTAACAGCATGTATCTGTGTGTAGCAGAGGTGGGACAAAGTCATTGTTTAGCAAGTCACAAGTCAGTCTCAATTCATTGCCCTCAAGTCCCGAGTCAAGTCACGAGTCAAGACAGGCAAGTCCCGAGTCGAGTCCAAGTCAAAGGCCAACAAATCAGTCCCAAGTCCTACGGTTTGACTTTCGAGTCCTCTCGAGTCTTTTTGACCGCGATTTGTTTCTTGTTGGTCTCCACGTACTTTTGTAGGCAAACAAAATAATGTTAGGAATCATTTTGCTGGTGCATTCTCGTTGGTCTCTGACCCATGGACTAACAGTTTGTTCCATGTCGTTGGCTGCTGGTAAATCAAAACTATCTACGTCAGTGTCTCCCAAAGTGGGGTCCGCGGCCCCCTGGTGGGCCGCGTGGGTACTGCAGGGGGGCCGCGGGAGGTCATAAAAAAAATAATATAATTATTTAATGTTAAATTTATAATGTTTTGTTTGTAATATTAAAATATTTGTGTTCATTATTTGACTTGAATAATCCACTGTAATCATTTTTGTATTACAATGTTTGTAGCAGAGGCTATTTCCCCAAAATAAAATAACCAGAAGAGCCTATTCTTAATGTTGTCTTCTTGGTTATTATTTTGGGGGGCCACGCAGACCCGTCAGATTTTTAAGGGGGCCTCTGTGTTACTGAGTTTGGGAATGGCTGATCTACGTGATCTAATTGGATGTTGTGCCAGATGGAAAGGACTGAAGGGACCAATGACCAATGGAGGGGAAGGAACCTGGCCTGTATGAACTGGACCAGCATTAGTAATATCTCATAATTACCAATATATCATTACATAATAAAATGTCTCATATAAATTAATTAAATCAGTCAAAGCACTGATTCTCATATCAATGCACCATAAACAATAGTGCAAATATTAATCTAGCTTAGTGCACATAATCAAAACAATTATCTAATGTATGCAAACTTTAGCAGGAGGAGCACAGCAAAAACATACTCATAATAATAGGTCTCGGCGCCCACACAGAAAAATATAAGAAAGAGCTAACAGAGCAGCGCAGGCTAGCGCTAGTTTGACTCACCAGTTCCTCTTTAAAACACGGCACACAGTGTGACAACTGCGTCGATTCAATTGTATGAGGCGCCTGTAGTGAAAGCATATCAATTACGGTTTGTAGAACAAAATATGACGTTAGGTCGCGATAAATACCTGCAGCTCGCTCATTTCCAGCTCCCCTAGACAACACACCCACCGGTGAATGCAGTCCGCTTGTTTAGGGAAGTGTTGCAGCGCGAACTGCGGGGAACTCACGTTCGAACTCTCTCGCGAGCGCTACAACTACCGCGAGGCTTTGTTTCTTCAGAGACGGCATAGATAGAAAGAGAGATGCGAAGAAAGGTAAAAATGGCCCGGGTTACGCTAGTCTTTACAAGTCAATTGGCGCAAGTCCAAGTGAAAGTCAGAGTCATTGATGTTAAAGTCCAAGTCGAGTTGCAAGTCTTTTTATATTTGGTCAAGTCGAGTCTAAAGTCATCAAAATCATGACTCGAGTCTGACTCGAGTCCAAGTCACATGACTCGAGTCCACACCTCTGGTGTGTAGTATATATTAAATGATGGAAACTAAAAAATATGTCTTTTAACACACTTTTCCTTCCCTTCCTCCAGGAATCACTGGGATTCAGCAGTCAACTCTCCACTCCAGAGACCGACCGAAAGTACGTTCCTCTTCCCCCTTCTCTAAATACGGCATCACGTGTCCAAAAGCGGCAGTGAAATATGCCTAGATTTACACACGAGTCTGTGAAAGTCAAAACAGTGGTGTCTGGATCCCATCATTGGTCCATAAGGGAGCATAATTCCCATTTCACTGGTCATACCGCAGCAGGTAGAGCGGCGTGTCAGTGTAAAGCAGGTCTGAGGGTGAGCCGTGGGTCATCGCCACGGCCGCCGAGACAGAAGGTCACGGTACTGTCCTACTTCATCAGCTGAGAAGTTGATCTACAGTATTTGTGCGGGTCAAACACATGTGGTTTAGTTTTCTGTATACAAATATACTGTAGATGCATTTTATTAGCAAAGTATGTAGGGCTGTAGGGTCTGTTAGCGCTCCTTTAAATAGCCAAAATCAAAAACTTTGATGGTGATAGTATGGATATGATAGTTATGATAGTTATGGTGGTTATGATTGTGATTGCTTGAGCTCCAGGGCAGTTGTAATTTTGAAAGACTTGTTTAATAAAATAGGCAGATTTTTTGAGAACTTTTGCCAGATCGGGAATGTGGCTCACAAAAATCTGTATTTTCCGTAGTTAACTCAGAACACATTTTTGGGCAATCATAAAAGGTAATTTTGCTTGCCTGGCCTGCCAAACGATATGCTTTTTCAAAGACATATAGTCTGGGAACGAGCTTGATCTCAGCGAATTCCCGGTGGGCGTGGTTGACAGACTGCATCAACCAATTAGATGCACACAGGATATGACGCAGCAACTAGCGGCACCCAAGCCGTTTCAGTAAACACAAAACAAGGGATGGCGGCATGTCAGCTAGTGCAAATGTAAACGACTGCTGTCGATTTTGTAACAAAAACTTAAAGATACGAGGAGTTATTAGCAACTCAAAGGTGAAAGGAAGTCCCGCCTCTCGGTGCGTGATTGGACCGATGTGGGTAAAATTGTGAAATGATAGGCTAGGAAGAGGTGTCCAGACGGTTCTTCTTTTGAACAGAAAGGAGGAGTGTCTGGCAGGCCAGGCAATAATTTTGCTATATTGGACATTTAGCTATTGCTGTACAAATACACTTGCCTTGAATTTTGTGTTCAAGGCAAGCTTATTTGTATAGCTCAGTTCAAACACAAGATAACTCAAATTGCTAAACAAAACAAGACATTGAAATCGCACAAGGCCCTAAAATCATGATGCAATCATACAAGTTGTCATTCAAGTTTGCATAGTGTGATAAACAGGCCTACATTTCCATGGATATTCTTCCAAAAAATACATTAGTTTATGATATGATCCTCCTCACTTCTAAAGTAGGGGTCTAAAAATGGTCAAAAATCTAATATAAATAATTTAAAAACTATGGAAACTAGCATACATTTCACAAAACTCTGACATTTGTAATTAGTTAAAAACCTTGTGGTGTTTTGATATTGAAGTAAAAAACAGCAGGTCATTCCCTGATTATTTAAATTATTTATTTTAGATTGCCACCTTGGTATTGAAATTGGTATCAAGTATCTACTCTTTAATGTCAGAATACAATTTGTAGTTTTAGTCTTGCAACAACACTCGTCTAAACTTGAGGTTGAAATGTGTAATGTGTAATTAATACAGATACACCATTATTCTCTCCATAAGTCTGGTCTATTTCTGGCCATACTCACTTAGAATTACGCATGCAGTACTCTAGGTGGTCCCCCCTCTCCCACTCTCGGAGAAAGAAAAACCACCGACCACTTCCTTGGACCGACCTGCCCAGTCCACAGTCTGTTTTCTGGGTTTCCTTCCTCCCTTTGTGTCCAGTCCAGGAGAAAGCAAGCGAGAGAAATAGAGGGAGAGAAAAGGTGGGGGGGGTAGATGAGGGGTGGTAGTCCAGTGATTAGAGCCAAGAATCAAATATGAGTTGCCTGGGTGTGCCTGGTTCCTGTAACATTCTTCTGCTGTTTTAAAACACGGATGTAATTCCCCAAAGTTAGGTCATCGCAGAAATCTTCTACCCTTCTCCACTTGATGGCACGAAAGCGTTTTGGAATCCGACTCAGATAGAATTCAATGTAATTATCCCACATATGCGTGAATGGACTTTTCTCATAAAAATTCAATAAAATAAAATACTCAATAAAAATCAGTTTTATTCAAATTTACCTGTAAGTGCTAAAACCGGGAAATATAACTTAAAATTAAAGCCGCAAGCGGCGATGGAAGGCCTCGCCCCTCTTGCGACCGCCTCCTGGGCGCCGGTCCCACAAGCGTCACGCCGACGAATTGGCAGCCCGATCTGACCAGGATTACGTATATAAAAGCTGATTTATATGATAAAGTGCGTCCCTAGTGGTCACCTCCGGGACATGCACCCTCTACGTAGAGTAGTATTTTGCTCGTGCAGATGTAAAGATTTGATTTAGCAACTTTGGTGAAGATCGGAAAAGTTTAGGTCAGAAGCCTTCCATAGGTGGCGCTGTAGAGTCATATTAGGTGTGTGTTTTCACACCATTACTCTCAGGCCATTACCAACTGTTAGCGATGTGAGTTTCAGCTCTGTAGGTCTGAGCCTGTGGTCAGGAGAGCATCAAACATGGAGAAATTCCCCGCTACCTCGCATGAAAACGATAACAAAATTCTAACTTTTATGCGATGATTGCATAACTTCAATCCGTCCAGATGGAGAAATGACATGGTAGAAGTCTGTGCGATGAAAATCCAGGGACTAGTACGAAGCCAAAAATGAGACACATTGAACTGCTTGTAGGTGGCGCTGTTGCACTCACAGTTGTGTGTTGCATATCGTTGTGTTCAGGGTCATACGCTGTATTTCTGAATTCATTTTTAGCCTCATCGGACAAACATTTTGCCCCAAAAAGCTCATTTATTCACTTTACGTCGCCCCCAGTGGTCAGGTGTGGGACGGACAACTTTTGCGTAATGTAATGTTTTACTCGTCTCGGTCCAGAGAATACACTCAGCGATTTTCGGGCCGATCCGAGCACTAGTGCCCTATTACTTTCCAACAGGTGGCGCTGAAGAGCTCAAATTGGGCGAATGATTTTAGTGTCATTGCGTTCAGGCCATAACCTAATATTACTGATGTGAGTCTCAGCTCTGTAGGTCTGAGCCTGTGGCCCTCAGGGCTCAGCGAAAATGGCCAAAACGAAGGCCTTATTCGCCATGGCGAGGGACAAAAACGGTGAAGATTTTCTTCTTTTTTTTGATGATTATATAACTTCAATCCGTCCAGATTAGGAAATGACGTGGTAGAACTCTGTGTGATGAAAAACCAGGGACTAGTTCGAATTTATAAATGAAAAGTCAAATTAGTGGCGAAACTTCGGCCCATCATGGCCGACTTCCTGTTGGTCCCAGACATGTGCTTAGAACGGCTTTTATGCTCGTCTCATAGTGATCTATCACTCATCCGAATTTCGTGTACCTACTCAAAAATTTGAAAAAAAATCCCCAGAGGGTCAAAAAAAATGAAATTTCTAGGGGGCGTTATAGAGTCGGCGAGCGTCGGACAATCTGGAAACGTTCATTTTATCAAATGTTTTTCCGAACCGGTCGTTTTAGACCCCCCATGTGCAGACTTTCGTGCATGTCTTCAGGGTCAAAAATCGAATTGAAGTTGCGGAAAAAAAATAATAAGTATTATAATATGAAACCGGTGAATAACAATAGGCCTCCCCAATACTTCGTATTGGCTCGGCCTAATTAAGAAGAAGAAAAAGTTTGTTGAAAGGCTAATGCTAACTGCTAGCAAGTTAAATTGTGTTGCTATGGTTACTAGCGCTTGCTCTTCTCTACTCCTCTACTATTTAAAATTTAAAACATAATTTAATGAAAACAATATCATAGAAAAAGTACATGAAGGAAAAAGTTAAAGTTATGATGGTCAAAAATGTACTTGAGCTGGTGAATATAATTTGAAATACAGAAAAAACGATTTGTTGAAAGGCTGATGCTAACTACTAGCAAGTTAACAGTGTGTTGCTATGGTTACTAGCGCTTGCTCTTCTCTACTTCTCCACTCCATTTCAAAATTAAAAGAGGATTTCATGAAAACAATGACATTGAAATAAACTACATAAAGAAACAGAAATCGTCACAAAGTTATGACGATCAAAAATGTACTTGAGCTGATGAATATAACTTGAAATACGGAAAAAAACGATTTATTGAAAGGCTAATGCTAACTACTAGCAAGTTAACAGTGTGTTGCTATGGTTACTAGCGCTTGCTCTTTCCTACTCCATTTCAAAATTAAAAAGATTAATGAAAACAATCACATAGAAATAAACTACATTAAGAAATAGAAAAAGTCTCAAAGTTATGAAAACCAAACATGAACTGAGTAATTACAAACTAAAAGCCGTCAAAGCTCTGTTAAATCTAGTGTTGAGATTAGGATTGGTATTTTTTCACGCACGGCCCGATCGCTGCCCCCTGGTGATCTCTGGAAGGACAGTCACGTGCAGAAAAGGAAACGCATACCTCATACATGAACTCCTCTCTCTGCTGCACAGACAGGACGCGGAGGGGGCGATGCAAAACAGATGCCAGAAATTGAGATGACGTTCTCTTGTTTGAAAAAAGAGAAGAGCAGAGGGGCCCCCAGGAAAACGATTCCCCCGTTTTTTTTCGGCCCCGCTTTATAAAGTATTTACACAATTTAGATGTGATGACCTTGGCTGACGTATAGATTGTCTTATGATGCTGTATAGTCTAGCACCTACAGCAGAGATTGGAATGTTGCCTTGAAATATGTTATAAATATGGTTCTTGCTTAAGTCATTTGTACCAGCTGCAAGATTTTGTGAGAATCTTCCAGAAACCCCTGTAGTATAGTTGATTTCCACCCCTTAACCTTGGAGAAAACTCATGCACATGTACAATAGACCTAAACTACTGACATTCAACACTTAATTTTACTTTTTGCACCTGGATTGATAAACATTGATGTCTTAAGTGTTCAAATTACAGTCTGTAAAAATGCTCC